TTCTTAAGCACGGACAATTCTTCTCGAATGAAGCGTACAGTTAAAAAAACGAGTAATACTATCGCACATAATGACTGATATCGCAATCATTATATCCGTTTAAACCTCTCTAAAATTTCTCTGTCTTTTGTTTCCTTTTTTTCTTCTTCTTCGCGTTTTCGTTGAGATACGTACTGTATGTCGAGTAATAGAGCTTGATGGAAACCGCATTAGACCAGCATTCATGTTCTTCGCGACTCATTGACGCGTTGTGTCGTTGCCGCTCAATGATTTATAATTAACGATGAGCCAAGCGTCGCGACAAAGGATGACTCGCGTGACGTCGCAGGAACAGAGAAACGGAGCTTTTTTTTTTATTTTTCTATTATATTCGTGCGTCGCGTTTTAACACGTCACGCGACTCGTCCTCCCTCGGCGCGAATGATCTCTTTTATTCCCGAGCGACGGTCAGAGAATCGATCTGTTAAAAATTCTATCGAAGGCAGTGCGGTCGCTATGCTCGGAGATTAACTCTTTCGCTACTGGTATAATCGCCGGGATCCCTGACAGAAATGCACCAGCCGGCTGCAGCCTATTCAGAACTGACACGTGCATTATTTTCGTGCACTTTTTTTAAGAGATAATAATAGTCACCTTTTCATTTATATACAAACGAAAATACTTTGCGGATTAATTGTTATAATTGATATATCCCCGCATCAACCGCTTTCGGAATATAATAAATACTTACAGTCCTCGCCGCTTATTTATACAGACAGAAATACATGGATTAATTACGCGATTTCCCTCGCGACCGCTCGATTGCCGTGTTCGATTGCTAAATCGCTAATTTAACGACTTCTACATTTCCAGCGTGGACAGAAATTGTCCCATTATCGAATCTCGATTTCCGTTCTAAATCGAATACGTCGAAACGCAAAAGATATTCCGAGTACACCGTTAAAGTGTTCTTCTGCTTAGGTGCCATAGCGAAAGAGTTAAAGGAAAAGGAGGTGAGAGAAAGGAAGGAATGTTCTCATAGGTACTTGTTTGGCAGTCTTCACTGTCGTTTTACGTATTGATTTCGCATAATCTCTCTCTCTCTCTCTCTTTCTCTCTCGTCGTACTCGTCGGATATTAATTGGGCATGGCGCGGATTCATGATACCCGTTGTCTCTCGGGACCCTCCTCTAAAACTTTCTACCGCTACAATTTTCGTACATTAGCCGACCTCGGTGTACCAGCGGTGTCGATGGTGGTTTGTTAATGCACGTTAAACATCATGAGTATAAACAGCTTCCTCCTCTCTCTTTCTTTCTTTTTTTTTTTTACAATTACCGTAGGCCGTACATGCATACGTTTGGATTGGAGGGGAGAGAGTCCGCTCCCCCTCCCCCCGTCGTGTGCTCTCCGCGCGACGATTCTTTACAAATGATAATTATAAACGTTACGCATCCCGGCAGCTTGTGTACGAAACAATCGAACGTGCTCGAGTTGTGATTTCTTTCACGGTTGTCCGTTGAAGTTTCGGTAGGCATTCGACATATATATCCTCTGTTAAAACACATCCATTTCTATATACTCATTTCTATATATCCAAATGCATGTACATACACACAGATGTATATGTATATTTAAATGGACATACGTATTTCACATAAGTAACAGACTCTCTGAACGGCTGCGCGCCAACGAGACCCCGCGCAATCCCGAAACTCCGCCCCTCCCCGACTCCGCCTCCGCGTTTCCTCACTTAATAAAATACACATATGCACATACGTACGTATATATATCACATAAAACCAACTCGGAACGAGACCGTTTTCGCTTTTTTTTTCTCTCTTCCACGTGTGGTCCGCGCGAATACTACAAGTTACAATCGCAGTCTTTGTTATACCGAGGGTGTAAAAAGGAAACCGATAAACCGCGCCCGGAGCTCGTCCTCGTCGCGTCCACCTTGTCGCGCGACATCCGAAATTATCCGCGGCCAATATCGCGGCGAACCGTTCTCTTTCTCCCTCTCGCAGAGGAGCTCGTTAAATTTGGATTAACAAGACGGAAAATGATCGTCCCTCCCCCTCTCGTCAACGAATGGCCCGGCCGCTTCGTGGCTGCCCGGCGGACGAATGGCAGGGAAAACGCAGTTTCAATCGTCTGTCTCGTCTCGATCGTGGCGTAGCGGACGACGAAGGGAGGAAAGAGATTAGAAATGAAATGAAGAGCCAGGGGAGCTAGATGCGAACTAACGGTGTGAAAACGAACGAGACAATGTGCGTTCATCTTACAAATATTATGTTTGACTAGAGTCTACATTATCTATACACACCACCTATTTTTTTTTGTTATCATCGAATTATACGCGGGCGGGGGGCCGCGCCCGCCCTCCCCCGTGTCTCGCGGCCACTCGCGCCTCGTTTAGACGTCTATCCCGCGTTTATCCACGTAGGTACGCACACATATAATCGTGTAATATCGTAAAATACAGTATTAGATCGCATTTCAGTGCACGCGCGCGACGAGGTATCGCTCTCTCTCTCTCTCTCTGTACAGGTCCGCCCGTGGGATGTGCGGGTGCGCGTCGCTCCTCTCCTCCCTCTTGCTATGGCATTGTCCCCGTCTCGTCGACTCCGATTTGAAGACGGAGCGATTCCTCGTCCGCCACGCCCAATTCATCTCACTCCCCGATCGCCATTCATATCATAAATATTTATATATATATATTTTTTTGTTTCTTCTCGAATAGCGCGACGAGTTCGTGTTCGTGTGAGCTGTCCGTCACTCAGGTGTGCATATCTACCACTTCGGCGTAGCTTCTCGTGTACATGTGTATGTGTGGGTGGGTGTACGTGTATGGGTACAATAATATCGCTTCTTCTCGCCACAGTTTCCATCGGTGACTTAAGTTATTAACTAAAAGACACGTTCTTTACATGCATAGTAATCTCTAGTTAGACGATAAGTCGACAAGGTGTTTCGTTGGTACGAATTGGTGATGAAATCGGTGACTCGATCGTGGCCAGTCGGCGATGTACGCGCGTATACATCGATTGCCGGGCTGCTCTCCCAGGTTGGGGGAGGCCCCCATATCTCGAGGATCGGGTCTCTGCTTCCCGGCGCGTACCGGAAATACGCTCGCGTTACTCGCGTCGCCGAGCTCCGCGCGACTCGTGGCGCTTCCTGGAGAACCGTAACTCTCTTGTGCGATGAGGTACAGCGATGCTCCCGGGTGCCGGTCCCTCCCGCCGAGGAGCTCCGTTTTCACGCTCTCGCGACTCGGGAATCGCTTTTCCCGAATGACTATCAGTCTTGTGTCCCGCGCGGGGCGTATCTAATCAGCTTGGCGTGTGTCGACGACGAAGCGGTTTTCTCTCCGACGAGCACGCGCTCTCGCACAGCTAATCACACCGGGCCGACCAAACGGAACGTTACAGAGTCACACCGCTCTCTGTTCCCCCTCACGCGTGTTTCTCGATCTCTCGGCACGTTGTGCTCGTTGCCTCTGCTCTCTCCCTTTCGTCCAGCGACCGATTTTCCACTTCGTCCGAGGGGCGGCGATCGAGGGATACTACATACGGTTTTCGCGTTTGTACACGCACTCGCGTACGACGAGACGAATATTATCTGCCGCGGGATTCGCGAGGAACTGTTCTCCCTTCGTCCGCACCCTCCTCTCCCCCCGGTCTCCGTTCTCGAGTCGACTGATAACGTTATCGAGCATCACGGAAGAAACGTTCGGTAGTGCTGACTGACGCTCGTCGCGATTATCGTTAGACTGGTGTCGTTACTTAATTATAATACAGTTTCGGCAAGTTGAAACGAACCGGCTTTGCGTCTCTTTGCGCGCAATTGCTCATTGTTAACTTAAACGAGTAGTCTTTCGAGAAAGTAGAGACTAATTTGTACTGTTACGAGTTTAGGCCAAGCGACGGAACGTACACTTCGCAAAGTATCTGACTGCGCTTTTTTTTTTGACGCACGGTGACGAGTAATCGATAAGACACGTTTTGCAAATCAGTACGGTTTGCGCGATGAGCATCTCGTTACGTGCAACGAAGGCGACTAACTTTTCGCACGCCAATCTTTCTTCGTCGTGAATTCAACAAGAGAAATCGAACGCCACCCTGCACTTCGCGTAGTTTAATAAGTCGAGAATTTAGAGCGCAGCTTTGCCTCGTGCCTCACGGTGCGCGGGTGTGAGCGCGCCAAACAATGATTAAAATATCGCGATTGTCATCACCGTAAAAACGAGCGGTATTACTTGTCAATTGAAGAGAAAGCGTAAGCCACGGCGCGAGTCGCCGACAATCTCGGCCTCTGCGTTATTTATGTAAACGTCGCGTATAAAAGAAAAAGTCGCAGCTACTCCTCGCAGAGAGATCGCACCCGAGGAGTTAACGTTGCGCGTTAGACGTTACCGAAAGCCGTATGGTCGTCTACGAAGTTGTGCGCTGTTTCGATTCGTTCGCGCGGAGCGAATGCACGGCGTAGTTTTGATTTGAGTCGCGTATCGAGCGGCCTACGCGCGGAAATCACTCGTCCGAACTTAATTTTTAACGCACGACGACCGCGGCGGCGGTCGCCGATACCGCGGTATCGTCGCTAAAATGGCAGTAGCAACGGGCGCGATAAGCCCGTTGCGCATTGTCGCGGCTCATTTGCCGGGCCGCGAGATCGTAGTGGATGAAAAACGAGAGAGGGCAGACGCCTGTGTAAATGAATTTTCGCTTATCGCGCGCGACAATCTCGCCCCGACGATGCACTCTCGCGCGTTATGTGTACAATAAACTAAAAAAAAAAAAGAAAAGAAAACACATAGAATAATTGGATACACGTGTATACGTATATGATGTATTATATATGTACACACCCATCCGCGGAAATGTCGCTCTAACAATTAGGCTATCGTAATGATTCTTTGGCAACTCGGAGCTGTCGGATTTTCGACGTGCGTATACACACGCGCACGCACGTCCGCACACACGCACGCACACGCACACAGCGCACGATTTTTCCTACACATATACACATGTATGCGTATACAATATTTTATGTAACGTGTATGTGTGTGTTGTGTGTGTGTGTGTGTGGGGTGCACATATACGTATTATGCATATGCCCGCGCACGTGTGTGTTGTGTGTGGTAATTTTATATGCTATGTATAATATATACACAAAGTAAGAGATTGATTGAACGTAAACTTACGCGACGGACAAGATAAAGCATCGCCCATCCGGCGCGCGTCGGCGGCAATTCTGTCTGTTTTTGGCACTGTCCGCTCACGCGCCCGGAAACCGGGTGTTTCCTTACCGAAACTCCTCTCCCTCGCGTCTCTCTTTCGGCTCTTTCTCCCCCTCTCTTTCTTTCAACGTTCACGTTAGCTCTATGTACACTAAGAAATCCGCTCGAAGATCCTCCAGCTCTCCCTCGGATGCGAATTATCACCTTCTCCGCGATGCGAGGATTAGTCTGCACGCAGGAGAAGCAGATTTTTTTCTCTCTCTTTCTCTCTCTGTTACGACACAGCGTGCCTCTACCCGTCGAGGATTACGGACGGCACTTACCAGTTCGTGATTAAACTTCCGGCGTTCGGGAGTCTCGATTACAGCGGGGCCGACCTTCGCGAGGGTGCGCTGCAACCGAAGATAGGCCGGCATCATTGCGGCATCATCTTACAGCTGGGCTCCATACTGTCGGAAGGTACGCGCATGCTGCCATTTGTGATATAACCGTTAGCATCGACCATTACGGAGACGCCGGATGGCGGATGATTATGAAAGCTAATGTTTCTCTGCGACACCACCATGCTTTTCTCCGACGGTACTACATGATCGTTGCTGCCGCCGTGGGAGGAGAGGCAGGGCTCGCTCCCACGGCTGCTGGACGACTCGATTGGGTGATCCACGCGTATAGGAATGGTATAATCGGACAGGTATTCGGAACTGACTTCTACGGTCGCGTATTCGCGAATGACGGATGACTTGGATGGATAATCTATCGGCATGTGTTGAATCGACGAGGCCGACCTGATCTCGTTCGGATCGCTCAGCGCAGCGACGTGTCCATTCGCCATGGCGTACAGATCCGGCTCCGCGCGACCCTTCGTCGATAGCATGGACTCCAGACATTGGTACAGCAGAGCGTAATCCTCCTGCGAATAATAAATAATGTGTGTAAATACATGTTCCCTTTCTGCGAGTGCACGTGACGAAAAGTACGTGAAGGAGAAACTCCAGCTTGACGGGAGGACTCACCTTTGAGCGGAAAACGCCAGGTCGCTTCATGTAAAGCAGCTTCGCGAACATGTAAATGTCGGCGCTTTGCTCAAATTCCAATTGCTTGTTCAACGTGGTCAGCAGGACGAAGAGTGCCGCCTCGACTCCACCGTACCTAAAGTGAGCGAGAGCGATACAAGAGTAACGATGTATTCGCTTCAATGATTAATTATGGAATGTTCGCGAGTAATTGGCATGAAATGTTCACCTATCCATCACGACGATAGGACCGTTTTGATAATCCCGATGAAAATCCTGAATGATGCTGACGAAGGTCTTCGGGTTGTTGTTGTGCGGCCACAGACCGCACTGATTCGACGGCGCTTGAACGATCCTGGCGCTGAGCTCGTAGTCGTCTTGCAACGACCGAACCGCGACTTCCAGCAAGATTGTCCCGTTCACAGTCTCCTTCGTTCCGCAGAGCCGCACTCGGAATGTCTCGGACTCGAGATCCTTGCCTTCGATGGGCCAAAATTCCGGATATTCCTGTCGGGTGGCATTCTTTATTAGGCCTCGTTCCTGTTTACTTCTTCTAAGCGATTATTTGATCTTCAAGACATACCTCGTCGCACTGAGTTAACATGACGATAGTCTGCGCATTGTGGTCCCACATCATTTGCCAGAATTCCATTATGGTGTTCTCCATCGGATGCTGCGTTATGATAAACTCGCGGTTGCGTTGAAAGCCTAGAAACACCGAGTTTTATCGTCGTTTGCAGCGGGGAATTTAAACTGCGCGGTCGACTCGATTACAAGGTGTGATGTACCTACCTGAAACCCATGTCGCGTTTATGTAGTCGCTTCCGTCGACGCCCGGTTTTGGCGTTAGGTGAACGCGCGCATTCTCGATAGGGATAATATCCATATTACGATTCTTGTGGACGTTGCACGCTTTGGTGGCGGATACGAGATTGAAGTCCTTAGGTTTCCACGACGTCACCAACTAGGGGAAAAATAGACAAATAATTTAATTACATACTTTAACCAAGCACGGGCAAATCCCTGGGGATAGATCAGTTACCTTGTATTGAGCCTCAATGTTGTTCCACGCGTCAGTCTTGTTATTCGATGGGCACAGCATGTCTTGAATGTGCTTTATTAAGTTATTGGCGTCGATATTGGTCTCGCCGCTCTCGATCGCCTCCTGCAGGGCATCGTGGATAAAGATGTACTGCTCCTCCGTCTGAACCAGAAAGTTCCTCTGAGTGCGGATGTGTTTGAGAAAGCCGTACACATTGATCTCGCCCTTGGCTTTAGCTTGCTTCAGCATGGCGTCGATCACGATGTACGTTCCGGTACGCCCGACGCCGGCGCTGAAAGCAGCGAAATAATCCCGTATAACGAATCGAGAGAAGGGTCGTTGAAGGCGTCGCAGCAAATATTTAACAATGTTGAGCGCGTCGAATTAAAAGTGGAACTTATTAAAATGCAATTTTCACCTGCAGTGCACCACGATGGGGCCAGCCTCGAGCGGATTAGCGTTGGACGATTTGCGGATAAAACTCAGAACGGGTAATGGATGATCGGGCACGCCGTGATCGGGCCAACCGGTGTAGTGGTACTGCCATATAGTGCGCTCGCCCATATTGGTCCCATTTTTCTTCTTCTTGATCTGCTTAAAAATCCGAGAAAGTTTCTCGTTGGGAGGGATTACTTTGATCGCTGGCTCTCGCGCGGTTGCTCTACGTCCATTCCTCTACGAAGAATGGCGTTTCTCAAGCGCGCTTTATTTCTAAATATATACCTTTAAATGTCGAATCTGGAGAGTGCGGATGGTGTACGTGGCCATAATGTCCTCCCTCACTAGAGTCACTTGAATGTAACCGTACGTCTCGGTCCCTTCCTTGGGCCAGTACATATCACATTTCCTCTGCAAGCGACAACGACAATCCATAAGTGACAATAATCTGGACAAGTCGGATCTCCTCGCTAATCGCAGCGAGTCGAGCACTCGTGCGCGCCAATAATTTCATCTTTGTTTCCGTACGCAATTCTGTCTCGCCATATTACGTAATTTTTCGCGGACGTTGTAAGAGTAAAATCAACGTGGTTCAACTTATCGTTTTATCAACTTTTGATTAGCGTACCATGTGTAAATATTGATATCAACTTTACACTTACACGACCGCGCTCGACCAGATTGGTAATCATTACGACTATTGATACGCGCTGCTCCCAGACCATCCGCCAGAAGCCGTCGAACGTAGGCGGGAGCGGGCCCTGGGTGCCGATGTAGGCTCGCGCCCTTTGCCAGCCATCGATGTAATTCGCGTTGACGTAGTCCTGGCCCTTTTTAGGCGGCCCACCGCCGCAGGAGAGCAATTGCACGCGAGTGTGATCGTCTGGCAATAAGAAACATAAAGGGCGAAATTAAATTACGGTAAAATCAGAGCAACGCCCTCGCCGCCCTCACTTCAACCGTAATCTCCATAATCGTAATTTGTCGCCGGTCTAAAAATACGGGATTTCAATCGCGCTACACGGTTATCCACTTATCAGTCCGGTCGACGCAAAAATCAGCGCGCTATTCAAGCCGAGGTACATTCTACATCGTCCCATTTTAACTCGGAAATTATGCCGATCGTTCTGTCCCGCGGATAATGAAGAGGCATTGCCCGTCTCGCGGGCGCGAGAGACGCCGTTTTCCGCGAAGGAACTTGTTACCGTTCGGCCGCGCGACAAGTCTCGAGCTTCAATTTCTCGAAACTAATAGCGATACATCGCAGTCCAAGCCGGATGGTATCGACGCGCGGGGATCAGCGACCGAGCGGTCGGACCGAGCTGAAAAAAAATCATACGCATTCGCCCGGCTCGGCGACGTCGGCAAGTGGAAAGTCATCCTTGAAGAAATGGAACGCGGAGGCGGCGAGCGGCATTGCCAGTTCTACGTGAAGGTATATTGCCTTTCGTTTGTAAATATTCAGCTTATTCTATACAATGGACGCAAAGCGCAAGACGTTAAAGGTCCGCGTCCGCGATGCTAGAACTGTGTCCAAGTTCCAGTACCGAGAAATGTGTAGCCAATCAGCTTGCAGTTTTTCCGTAAAGACCCGTGTCCGCGACGGTAGAACTTGGACCAAGTTGCAAGTTGACCGGCTACACATTTTTCGGAACCAGAACTTGGACACAGTTCTTGGATTATGGACGCAAGGCTTAAGCCGCAAGAAATCGACCAATCGCAGTCCAATATGAGAAGAATGATCGACCGCCATTGGCGGATTTCTTGCGTTACGACCGTGCGTCCCGCGTCAATTGTAGAATAAGTGTCAGAGCACAAAGGATCACAATAGCTTACGACAAAGACGCAGGCGTAAACGTGGACAGCGCACATTCTTTGACGCATGTCGTACTCACCTCCAGTTACACGTGACGTTACATTTACGACATACGCCGAAGCTTGTGAATACGCTAATTTACGTTTACGCTTAGGTCTTTGTCGCAGGCTATTGCGTTGCTTTGTGCCCCGACCCTACGCTTGAGGGCGCGAGCGTAGCGTCCGGTGGCCACTCACACGCGAGTATATTCAGGTATCTGTTCTTGGCCTTGTTCTCGGCGAACTGGGAATTCTCGACGGTGTAATCGCCGGTCTCGGACTGTATCAGCTCGTATTCCTTGCTGAAACCGATGTCACCGTCGGCGTGCAGGCTCGCCACGTGCTGAACGAACTGCTGGACGGCCACGGCGGTCCTCTCGCCGTCCTGCTCGCTGTTCTCCCATTCCTGGAGGGTAGGGACGTTGCGCGGCGGGTAGTCCAGGTAGTAGTAGGCAGTGTGGAAGCATTTCCTGAAGATCGGTCTGAATAATAAAAGAAAACAGGTACAAAGCGTCCCTTCTCGGCGAGCGCATTTCTGAAGAAAAGGCGTTAGGATAATCGCCCGCCTTTTACGCGCGCGTTCTCTTTCGGAAGCGATTCTCCAAGTTATCTCACGTATCCGGGGGGGGGGAGGGAGGGGAGGGAGAGAGTAGCTACATTCCGCGCGATCTGGAGTTATCCGGGCTCGCGATATCGACGGGGAGCACACGTGGGTTGGGCCGATAGCGACGGATCAAATATTGATACGCCGAAATCGATGCCGATAACACGTTCGCCGTCTCGTCGCGCGCGCGCGCGCGGGCGGGCTCGGTTCGCACTCGACGCGACTTACAAGTCGCTGAGGAACTTCTTCATTTCGACGGCATAATCTTGACGCCAGCGTTCATCACAGGCGGAGTCGACGAGACGCGCTTGCGAAATAAATGATGATTAGGCCGGATCCCGTCCGTGACCCAGAAAACGAGCTTGTCATCAGCCACGGCCGATCCTCGGCGCATCGCTCGCGTCGCCGTTCACGAGAGCACAGAGAGGCAGGCACGCGCGCGCGGAAACAGAGGAAGAAACGTGGAGCACGCGGAGCACGTCAAGGCACACGCGTTCTCGCTCGTGGCGCACGAGAGTCTAACTCGGTGCGTGCGGCGTAGCGTCACGCTGCGTTGCCCGGCTCCGCTTCGCTCCGCGCCGCACCGCGTCGCGAACGGCTCCGGTGACTGTAAGAGCATACTTAGGCCTTGTCACCGGTCGTTATCTCGCGATAACGTAAGAGAGAGAGACCTAGGAGCGAGCGTCGGAACACATTAAAATACGCGTCGTATATAGAGTTTGATAAAAATTCGTTGGTACCAATAATGTTGAAAGTGGAAAGGAAAGTCAATTTTATATGATCTAAGCTAAGAGAAGGAAAGAGAAAAGCAAGAGAGAGAGAGAGAGAGAGATATTCTTTAGAATCTTTATGAAACGCTCTGGGACAAGTCTCCTAAAGTGTTAGACAATGCGGCATGGAGAAGTAATTACGAGTGGGAATGAGCATTTGTATAATAAAAAAATAGAGAGAGAGAGAGAGAGATATGTGTGTGTGTGTGTGTGTGTGTGATGTTCCCAAGGGAGAAACCGCTGACCAAAATCTCGTACACCAATGCCCACTGGGTATTGCTTTATCTAATTTTATCTTATTTATCTTGTTTAATCTTATTATATTTTATCTTGATGATGCCCCAGCAAGGCCTAATGCCCAAAAATTAGTAGTAATGTCTAGTAATGGCCAGTAACGCCGCAAATCTGTACACCACAATGCCCTCAGCGGCTTCCCCCTCGGTGATGTACTATAAAAAGAAATTAGACTTGCAAGAATGATACTATAATAGCTGTACACGCACGGAAAGAATGTTCTCTAAAGCCTTGCGTCCACGATCCAAGGGACCGTGTCCAAGTTGTAGTTCCGAGAAATGTGTAGCCAATCAACTCGCAGCTTTTCCGTAAAAGATGCAAGTTGATTGGCTACACACGTCTCGGGACTAGAACTTGGACACAGTTCTTGGATCGCGAACACAAGGCTTTAAAATGTACCCTGAAAATCGTAGGACAACATGGGATTTTGAAGAGCTTTATGGATTTTTTTGAAATGTTACCATACAATTTACTAGTAAACTCATAAAGTTCCTCGAAATGCCGCATTGTCTCGTGATTACACGACTTTCAGGATGAATTTAATGAAAAAATTCTCTCCGCCTATATTTAAATAATTTATGGTGCATCGTGATTTGATGCTAAGAGATGCAACAAGAACGCGATTGTAAAAGACTTGTTTCGCTCTAATTTTCAAGATACTTTTTACCACACGCAATCATTCCATTTATTATACCGCCGTAATATTAGTTCGCAAAATGAAATGCCGCGTAGGAATTTGACGGATTGTGAAGTGCCATAGAAACTTTCTCCGAGACCGAGATAATCCGGGGATCATAAAACGAGAGGAGGTCGCTGGGACGATAGCAAGGGGCCGCTCGGGGCTCGGGAAATCAGGTGGGAAAGTCTGAAAAATGGTTGCGGGTGCGTGCGAAGGTGCGCGTGATTGCATCGTTCGCTTTGGAAACTTTCTAATTGCCCGCACTCTCCAAATGCGATTCGCGGATCCAAGCGCGCGCGCGCCGTTCGCGCTCGAACGGTTAGACCCGGCATTGTCCGGTCGACAATTTGCAGCTAACAAAAATAATAGATCATTTGTAGCGTTAGATCGGCCGGAGCGCGGAGCGGAAGTGAAACGTCGGCGATGCGAAATAGTACTCGGCAAAGATCGGCCGTAACTGTAAAGCGCAACTCGTTGCACCGAGAGAAAGTATAAGATCTGCCGTTGTCACCTCTCTCCGTCACTCTAACTTTTCGCGATCGACAGGCTTCCATCGGTCGCGATAAAGACGCTGCTAAATTATCAATTGGAACCGTCAGCTATCTCGACGCGGGCGTCGTCGCTATTACGTAAGGAAAAAGAGAGCGGGAGGGACTTTGTTTAACGCGGACTGCCCGGATGAAAGATGCACTGAAAAGAAATTCTAGGTGAACTTGTGAGTCCGCATAGTAATAAGTTTTTTTTTAAATTTGGTCATTATTACTGAATTTGATAACAATAGCAAAACGTTTGGTGACAATCATAAACATTTTTATGAAGAAAGAGTAAATTTGCACCTGCAATTAAGCGAACCAACTAAACTCCGCAGCGTTTTAACTTTGACCAATTTATATCGCCATGACAACCTGTGCGTTTAGTTGAAACGGCCATTTCACCAAAGATCTAGGTGACGTTAACCGAGCTTGGATCATTATAACCAAGTCTTTTCGTCAGTGTACCGAGCGGACGTTACGAGAGAAAGAGAGAGACAGGCGATTGTTACATAATACGCTCCAAGAGCTTCGATTTTTATTTTTTCCTCTCGCGCACGTGGCCGCGCGCTCGTCGGCGCGCGACGCGGAAATGTATCGCCCGGTGCGGTCGGAGAGGGAACCAGAGAGACAGACAGACAGATAGATAGACAGACATACAGAGAGAGAGAGAGAGAGAGAGAGAGAGAGAGAGAGAGAGAGAGAGAGAGAGAGAGATATATATATATGCGCGGCTATAGAGTTTCCTCCGCGATAACGCGCGCCGCGCGCCAAACCGTGACTTACTTCCACAGCACGAAGGACGTGATCGCCAGCATCACGGCGAAGCAGGCGCAGACCATACCGGCGATCACGCCCGCGCTGAGATCCTTGCTGCTGCGGCGCATCAAGGGCGGTATCTTGTCGCAGTCGCGGGTCACCAGCACCTTCGTCGGCACGGAGCTCTCGCCTTGGACGATCAGGCGGCTGTCGATCGTGCTCCTCGTGGCCCCCCGCACCATGATCTCGTAAACGGTGTTCACCGTCAGGTTCGGGATAATCGCCTGCAAGCACGAATTCGCAAAACGTTCCCTTTACGCCCCAGTCGAGTACCTGCTCCCGGAATAGGCCCCCAATTAAAATGCTCTGTCTTCACTTGTACCGCGGTTTGAAACTCCAATTTGAGGCCCCGACGAGTAAAACAAATTGTGTTTAACCACGTTCTAACCGCCAAAGAGAATGTAATAAAATATTTCACGCTCTCTGAAACCTTTTAGGCCGAAGAGGATCTACCGAACCCCTGTTGATTACACTCGCATCGGCCGAAAGGGAAAAAGCTCGGGAAATAGCGACTCTTTTCGGGCCTCCATCCGAGGTAAAAAATTCAATATATTTTCTCCGACGCAAAGACCTTCGTTCGACCTCATTGCTCCAAATTCAAAAATTGTACGAGGCTGAACTGAGGCCAGAATATTCGACTCGGGGCGCCGTGATCGCTTTTCTGGCTGGAACGAAGACCCCGCCGGCGAGGTGCGGAGTGAGAGGAACGACAGAAAACAAAGCGGCCGCTTCTGTCAGTGATATTATTATCGATGGCGGAATAATTTATAAATCGTCACGTCAGATACGAAGTGTGTCGATCCCTCGTCATTATGGTATGTCGCTCCGCGACCATCCGCCGCTAAATATTAAGCTGTTAAAACGTACCCCGCTTTCGAGGTGATTCTTGTCGGCCGACAGCTCGATCTCCTCGTAATATCGCCCATTGTCCCTTCGGTAATTGATGTAGTAATAGTCGATCGAGCCCCAGAAGTTCGCCGGCCTGGCCCAGTGGACGTAGACGGACTCGTGGGACTGGCAGGTCAAATTCAAGATCTGAGGCGCGGTCGGTCCTGTTATGTCGGTCTTGCGAATGATCTGATCGGACGGTTCGCCCTCGTTCTTCCGCGTGTAAGCCTTCACCCAGATCTTGTACTCGGTGTACGGACCTGCATCAGCGGGGACGGGGACGTGAGTGACACACGGAAGGAAAAGGGTGGCTACAGTAGCAAAATTCGCAGCGAGAGTTCTCTGCGAGTCCCCCGAGAGTTCTCATGCGTAGGGAACTCGCAAAATTCGCGGCGAGAGATCTCGGAGAGTTCTTTGCGAGTTCCCCGAGAGCTCTCATGCGCAGGGAACTCGCAAAATTGGCAGAGAGAGTTCTCTGCGAGTTCTGAGTTTTTTCTGAGAGTTCTCTGCGAGAGCGAGAGCGTGCGTGTGTTTTGTCTGTCTGACTAATATTTAGTCGCGATAGTTTTTGCCACGGTGCCTATTGCAGAAAGTTTCCTAATATGAGACAGTAGGGTTTCTGTTGAATTAGTAGGCATCATCTGTCGATCCCACCGCCAATGTATTGCTCTCGGAGCGAAATCCGTTTGGTGGAAGACGCGTTGTTGGATCGTATAATCGTTGCGAAAAAAAAATCTGATTGAATTTGGATGTCGAAGACCTGCTATCTCGTAATAGAGGACTTTTCCTCTATCGGGTGCGACAGCAAACCGTTTGCTGCGCTGTAGAAATTTATAGTTATACGGCAGCAAAATATTTTTAGCAAATCGACATTAGTAGCGAAAGGTTTTCTTTCAGTGTAAGCGAGGGAATTCAGTTTTACGCGTAGGAGTCGCGTAACCGTTCCGGCGACCGGTGTCTAGTCGGGCCTCGACAAGGTCCTTTCCCGACTCTATTGTTACCTCCCCATCCGTAATTATAACGAATTGTCTAGCGATGCGTTCACTCGCGCCGAGGCGGGCGCGTGTAAGAACAAAAAGTACGCGCGGCGATAACGGCTCTTCGAGCTTTTCTTATCAATGAGCTAAGTACACCGACCTATCTCCGGTTGTCTGCCGTAACGACTATTCGCTATCGAGCGGAGATTACATGTTTAATCTCGGCGTTATCTAGCGCGTTGAAAAAAAAAAGACACAAAGGCCGGATAGCGAGCGACGCTAAACATCGTTCCGTGGCGCTAAAATAACAAGGTGAAACCTATATAAACGCGCGACACCGTCGGAAGGAGACAGGAGGTATTCGCTAATCGTTCACGTAATCGCGAACAATGGAACAACGTCATCTCGTCCGCGCGCGTCCGCGTTTCTTTTTTTTGTTGTTGTTTTCCGGCGATACTTACGCAGCTCTTTCAGAACGAAATCGATGTACGAGTCGTCGGCGGACTTGTCGGGTATGTGCATCTTAACGTCCGTGTAATTGGAATGCATGTAGTAAATGCGATAACCGGCGATGACACCGTTGGCGTTCTCGGGCTCCGACCACGCGAGCTCGATGGTGGTGCCCGTGATTCCCTGCGAGGTGAGGTTCTCCGGCTTCGTCGGCGCTGGAAGGAAGAAGAAGGCGCGTTTTACATGACAATAAAGTCCACGTGTTAACCTTTCCTCCCCCTCCGCCCCCGCGTCATCGTTCGCGCTGAGACAAAGTGTCCAGCGCGCTCGGAGACGGCAAACTTTCCGGTAAAATCCCCGTCTCTGTTTCTCTCATTGTCGGGCGGTGGCCGCGGACTTCTACGATGCATACTGAAGCAGTATGCGTGCGTAGGTCCGTCAGCGACTTCATTTGTCTAACGGGACATGGCGGGACCCTTGCCTCACTTTTACAGCTCGATGGTACCCCAACGGGAAAATATATATTTCATTGTATATAAAGAAAAGTAGAGAGGATATACATTCGTTTTATATTACTCGTATATGCGTTATAAGAAATATATACTGCTACACTGAAAAAAAAATCTGATTCAACCAGTCGTCTGTTAGAAAATGGACGAATCAGAATTCCTTTAGGATTTACCAGATTTGTAGTGAAGTCTAGCAAACTTCTGGTTATAAAATATCTTTCATGGTAAGTCCTAAAGGAATTCTGGTAAATCCTAAAGAAATTCTGATTCGTTCATTTTCTAACAGACGACTGGTTGAATCTATCAGATTTTTTTTCAGTGTACTATAAATGTAACACCATGCAATAAATTGGAATTTTTCATATATCATTCGGATGTATTAAAAATATATAATACAATGTATGATATACAGGGTGTTAATAAATCATCGGTATACCGCCAATGCGATGATTTATTAACACCCTGTATATACATTATAATACATAGCTGTGTATATAATTATATACGCCTAATGCATGCATTGTATATTCTTATATTTCGTCATATATTTTATATAAAAATGTTAAAAGGAATATTAGGTGTTCTAAGTATCTTAGAATTTACGTTCTCAACGCTCTACCAGCGGAGATCAAATTGATTTCATTTGCCACAACTGTTAGATCCTCGCCACTTCTTGTGTACTGCTGTTGGTGTTGATTTTTAAATACGAGAAAGTGTAACGCGCGATCGCCGCCTCGCGGCAGCGAAGAGCTATACGATTTTTTAAATAGAATTTTTATATACCAAATGTACGAGATATATCACCATATATTGTCACCTACTTTTCGAAATATATATATTTTTCCGTGGGGGTAGCAGCATAGTATAAACTATAACTAGTATGCCCACTCTCTGTCGGTCCTTTGATCTTTTCGGTTTCGTTCACGTGGTATTCCGCCATGTTTTTGGTATAAAATCCTGTCACACTGACTTCACGCTACCACATATACAACCATAGACATAATATGTCGGGACCGAGGGTTTGCATCGAGGGGGAAACCGCTGACCAAAATCTTGTACACCAATGCCCACTAATGCCCAGTGGGCATTACTTTATCTTATTATCTTCTTTTATCTTATTTATCTTGTTTTATCTTATTTTATCTTTATAATGCCTCAGCAAGACGTAATGCCCCAAAAATGCCCTAGTAATGCCCGGTAATGCCACAAATCTACACCACAATGCCCTCAGCGGTTTCCCCCTCGGTTTGCATTTATTTGAGCAGCGGGGTATGTTCGCGTAGAAAAGGACAAACTCTGTTCTGTGCTATTTCGTTCTCTCTTGTTCACATGCGGTCTAGATATATTATGTCCACGTATACAACATCCGTCTCATTGGCGCCACCAAAAAAAAAAAATGGCGGATGCGCAGAAAGGATCGACGCGAAAACAAAACAAATGATGGAGTGGGCATACAAGTTACACTATGGTAACAGTCGGGTGACTACATAGAAGTCTGTGGCGGAGGCGCGCTTCTTCGCGCGCCATTTACATGAACGTAAAGAAAATAGGCCGGGCACACGTGCCTCTCTCCACGGTGCAGTTTCCGTGCGTGCGACGTTGGGGTCAGGCATAAAGAGAGATACGCGACATCGGATCTTATTATGCTCTTTACTACGCGTCGCATTGATAAGAAAAGAATATGACTCGATGTTCTTCCTCTGCCTCTGTTCCAGGATACTCGGTGGGGGGGGGGCGGGGGGGCAGGGANCGCATCATGCCGGGGTGCCGG